GGGGGGAGGCATCTGTCATACATAAAAGCTGCCTACATTTCAAGGTTCCTTGCTATAACTGCAGTACTATTGGTATTACACTCTATTTTGTTGTTCCTGACTACTGTACCTGAGAAACTTATGTTAATGTTTGGTAGAAGTGCTCTGAGTCCATCTTGCCAGTTTCTGATATCATCACCCTTAGAGAAGATCATAGTACAATACACAGTCATCCACAGGATCAAGGACAAAACCAGGTTTGTTACAAATTACTTAACCCAAGCATTATCACTAAACTGTTGGCAAGGTATGCTTACTAAATGCTGCATTTCCATGTATATTATTGTTACAAGCAAAATATTTGCTCCATGCCACGAAAAGTGAATAATTTCCCTGTTTTCAAGGACAATTTGCTAACCGACAGCTACTTTGACAACCTAGATTTTTTTAAAAAAGTATATTCGAAGATGTGATTGAATGATCATTGCAGTTATACACACAACTTAAGCAGTTGTGGAATGCCTGAAAAAATTCAGGCCTGAACAGTATTCAAACCCATGACCTCCACAATTCCACTGCTCTACCTACTGAGCTATCAAGCCAACTGGGAGCTGGTCACTTTGCGAGTTTGTTATATACCCGTAGATGGTGAAGAATACAAGTGAATATGAAAGATCATATAACTATTTGAACTAAGGAGAAAGATATGAAGACCTGAATGATCCTATTCATTTTAGGTTGCTTGGCCAGCACTTACATCTGTTGGAAATGCTGATAGAAAACTGTGTGTATGTGAAGCTGTAGAAATGTGTTGTGCTGAATCAGGTTCTGTTGTTTTCTCTTCCTCTTGCAGAAGATCTGCTAAGCCTTTACTACATTCATTCCATGGGTCAAACCCTAAATTAATAAAAAGAGAAAATGCCAAGATAAAAGTTAGTAATTCACCCTTAACTGATCTAGGAATAGATAGCAGAGAAGCATGAAGAGCAAACCAATTGAGATTTGGTACAAAGCCTGTGTCACATGGGTCAGGATCACAGACATAGAAGGCAATAGTGGATGACCTTGTATGTGTGTGTTGCCCATGGGACGTAGAGGAATAGACGATGAATTGGCACAAACATAGCTCATTGGTACCAAATTAAGTGGGTGGTAAGAGAGGCCTGTGTGTTCAATCCCTGGTGCTTGAGAATTTGTTAATTTGTTTCTAAAATAGCTTCATCACTGATTCATATTTTACTTAGAAATAATGCGATTGACCAATGAGATCAATCTTGTCTGGTACTTCTGAAAAAACTGCACACATGAGGTGACTTGCTTTAGAGATTGGTCACAGCAAAGTTGCCTTGTGTGTGCCGAATGTAAGTTACACATACCTAAATCATCCTCTCCATAAACTTTCAGATGCAAATTGGCCAGCCCCAAACCACTACAGAGATCAGCAGTAAACAAGCTGGAAGTACTGAGAAGGGACAATGAACTTCTTAGTAATTCCCTCTGATGAATAACAACACTGAAGTTGTATGCTACGTGTACAGTTGACATTCTTTTAAGTAGGAAATTAAATAAAGGAAAGTACTTTTGTTGAAAAGATGTGTTGCAAACACGTAGCAAGTTCATACAAATGAAATAACAATAATATAAATGACTGCTTACTCTAATACACGTGCAGTGTTTTCTGTGTTTTCCCAACCTACAGACATGAATAAACAAAACATGTCAACATTGAAGCAATACTGAAATGCCATGAATACTACAACAAAGTGAATGAATTGGGAATATTAAATTATGGACCTGGACAGAAGATGAATAAATGTACCAAGACCTGAAAGTCTTACCTGAGTTGCTGAGTGAAGTCTGTGGGGGTTTTGTTGGTTCTTCTTGTGTCACTTTATCAGATGTGGTGTTGTCCGGCTTGGTGGCAGGAGGAAGCCAAGTATCTTCCCAGTCCTCGCTCTCTAAAACATGCTGTTGTGTATTATTCTCCTCATCCTCACTTTTGCCAGCCCTTCAACAAGCAATGATAATGCACAGTAATCAGTACGAGAAATTGATTTCTCTATACCAAGAGTTGATGCTGGACTGTTAGCCTTGGTAGACAACGTGTCAGTTACCTAGGTCCTAAATGTATACTGAAGTCCAGACTGAATGCAAGGGTTAAACAATCAGAGACCTTAAATTTATTAGACATCGATTGTCTTTTACTTGTATATTGATTTAAATTTTCTACTCTTGTTAGGAATTATAATTCAATTATACCTTTACAAACATTTATCATAGGAAATTCCTTATAGCAATTCCGTTACTAAAATAGTGATAACATGATTTCAATTGTAATTAGGAGTTTGTGTTCCCATTTAGCACCTGTGCTACAGGGAGGCTAGATTTTTCCCCAACACCAAAATAAAGTTATTATCAAATTACAATGATAATAATTGATTATGTGACCCAAGATAATGAATAGTACACAACAGTTTACCATCCGTACCAAGCCGCTCCAGAAGGTAAACCAGGTGGTGGGGTATTCTCACTGCTGCCATCATCTGGCCAATGACTATTTGAATCCTTTAAAACCAAAAAAGATGAGAAAAAATAATATTGCTAAACTGCCAGCTACATCATCTAAGTTTGTTGATAAGTTCAGACCTAGAGAGCTGACTTTTGTGGCAAGATAAACTTACTTGTTACTCTGAAATTACTGCGAGTCTTAAATATTACCATTTGTCGCCACTAAAAGTGGATTTCATACACATGTAGATGTCATGAGACCCTTTGGTGTAATTGTAAAATTTCACCCAAGGAGACTCTACCAAAAGATTATGTACTCCATAGCTGGGCTCGAAATTAACTTTTTTGTTTGGGAGCCAGCTGGCGACTAACGGAAAAATTTTGGTCACCAGATCGTAAATTTTGGTTGCCAACTTATTTTATATTAAATTACACAAGAACACAATTTTATACGTTACTTTGCATGCAAGAAAAGTCACAATTGAAGAACGAAAACAATTAGAAACAACTTGAGTAATTCTTAGTTATAAAGCTACCCTTGTTCTCAGGTGATGTGTCTCTGGTCCAAAGGTGATAGTTGTCCCCATAGTCATTTTAAATGAGGCGAAGCATGAAACGTTTTAAGTCCGTGGTTTTCATTGTGAGACAAACACGGGTCCTTGCGTATTTCTTTGAAATGCCGCTCTTTATTTTTGACTTGCTTTCTTCGACACCTTTCGCTGCCGACAAACAACGAATGAAGGATTCAAAGTTTGGATTAACCTTTTGGCTGAATCTTCATTCCCCGCAAGTAAAAACTCACGTAATTCCCTCAACTGATTGGTATCTGCTGCCATTTTCGCGGCAAATGAAAAGCACATGGTGATGAAGTGTGCCTGCAATCCCAGTTTCGGAAGAAGCCGCTGAAACAATATGGCGTGCCGTGAATGCAGTATCGACGTGTCGAAATACATTCAATTTTTTCGATTATCTTGTAATATTCAGGCATTATTTTACTGGGAATGGAAAGGTGAGTTGTATACTAGCTATCATATCCGATTGATTTCCTTATGTAAAGATTTAAAAACAAAAGTTGTGTCGTGGTTTTCTTTCGTTATTGGACAAAACGCGAGTCGCCAGTGCTCAATTTTTGGTCGCACTGGCGACCAGCGAGTCGCAATTTCGAGCGCTGCTCCATAGGAACTTTTGTGGAGCTCACACTATCCAGTTAATGCAGGCTACAATAAGGTATCATTATGTTGTACAACAGGGCTACTGCGACATTACATGAAAATGCACCCCAGGCAGCAAAGCAAAGCAGCAAAAGACATGTTAAACCTACCTTATCACTATTAAGGCCCCTACGAAAAAAACAAAACAAAAAAACCTCTGTAAGATGAGATTGGCAATCATATTATCAGCACTATTCTTATCCTGGAAATTTAAGGAACATTGCAGTTCACCAAAAACATCAAGGCACAAACCACTTTAGTTGAAAGTTAGCAGATTATCAACATCTGAAACTGAAAAAATAACCTGAAACTCACATTTTCTTTGAATAAAAAGCAATTAACTGCTGTTCATATTCTTGATGTTTTCTGAAAAGAAAAATTAAAAGGTACAGTACATTTCTTCGCTTCAAGTAAACACTGAAGGAGGTGTGTGTGTGTGAGTCAGTAACTGCACGAACACATGAGAACTGTATACATGTATGAAAATCAAGTTATGGTCTGTATAGTGTGATCCTCAGAGAGGGGAAAAAAGAAAAGAACTGTTGCTGGTGATTGACAATTCAAGAAACTTTATTGCAGGTAGTGTTTGGCAGTTGATGGTGTTGTAAGTCTGGCCCAACAAAACTAATTGGACAGTTAAGCAGTAACGTTATTGTCTCATGTAAGGTTTTTCAACAGTGATTGGTCAGCTTCAGTAAGTAAGTCAAATTAAGTTGTTGTGTTTAGGCTCTTTTACAACAATGTTGAAAACAAACGAAGCAAACAGGAGGGAAAAAAAAAGGAAAGAAGAAATACTAACCCTGCCTGCATGTCATCTTTTGTAAAGCTTCCTGCACCATCCCCTAACTCATGAAGATACATACAATCCTGCAGATCCAGAGAACAAAAGCCATCAGAACAAAAACACATCCTCAACACCACACACTATATTGAAGCTGTTTAATGTTCTGGCCTTACACATAGGATAAGGCAAATGGAATTGAAAAAGGAGAAAGAGAGAGCCCCTGCCTCCCCCTGAATTAATTCCCAAGCAGAGAGTCTGCTTGCAGCCCACTGTTGNGTTTTTCAACAGTGATTGGTCAGCTTCAGTAAGTAAGTCAAATTAAGTTGTTGTGTTTAGGCTCTTTTACAACAATGTTGAAAACAAACAAAGCAAACAGGAGGAAAAAAAGGGAAGAAGAAATACTAACCCTGCCTGCATGTCATCTTTTGTAAAGCTTCCTGCACCATCACCTAACTCATGAAGATACATACAATCCTGCTGATCCAGAGAACAAAAGCCATCAGAACAAAAACACGTCCTCAACACCACACACAATATTGAAGCTGTTTAATGTTCTGGCCTTATGCATAGGATAAGGCAAATGGAATTGAAAAAGGAGAAAGAGAGAGCCCCTGCCTCCCCCTGAATTAATTCCCAAGCAGAGAGTCTGCTTGCAGCCCACTGTTGCTTACAATGTCCAGGAAACAGATTTAAGACAAATGATATTTTTCCAGAATTAACATAAACTGCATTTAACAGCTGAACTAAGGAAGCCACTGGCACTTAACAACAACCTAATGCTCAAAAATAAAATTGCTCACCGTTTTCGGACAAGGTATGTTTCTGAGAAAGTAGCTACAGTATTTTGTTGTTCCTAAAGATGCCCTGTGGGGTTAAAAACACTCAAAGTTAAAATGCAATTTGGAGGTAGAGCAAAACCATTACACTGACTGTTTTGTAAGAAGTACGAGTTTAAGAAGCTCCCTGTACTGCTTTCATGTATGTCATTAAACTTTTTTTATCCCTCGTGCTATTTTGCAGAAATAAAGTACAGACATAATGTAAATTATGCACAATGAATATTATCCTGCAATGCATGGATTTGAGGACACTGTTATGATGCACAATTAATAATAAATAAATATAATTTATATAACTAAATAGCAAAAACAAACAAAGTTCGTTTAATAATTTCTTACTTTAGTGTTCTGCCATCAAGGTGAGTATTACAAACTGCTATTATTGCTTTAATTGCATCCTGTGTATGGAAAAAGAAAACAGGTATCAAGTCTCCCAGTTGGGCAGGTCTACACTCAATCCAAAGTGACCAACACCTCCTGACCTTACCCATTTTCTGAAGCATACCTTCCCCAGCCAAACAAAAAACTGTCCAATTTTTCTGTAGCATAACTTTGCAACCCCAAACAAGAAACTGTCCAATTAACAATCGCAAAATCAACATAGTCAACCCAAAAAGTTATTCACCTCTTCTCTAACATATGTGATGTATGCACTCGCACTTGGGCCCTGAAAGAAAATCACAATTTAAGCAGGTTTTTGAAAGATGAATAAACAATAGCCTCCATTTGGCGAGAAAATATGCTAGGATATTTGTCTGCGGACATTATCTGTGCCAAGCGAACAGTTTTCCAAGAGCGTAGCTCGAGGAAAACTGTGAGCTTTGAGGAACAGATAATGTCCAAGGNTCGCAACACGCGCAGTTTTGAAAATTGGGGAATATTCTCGGATATTCCCGAGTTTTAGCTGGGGAATATTTGGTCATGTGACGTGTTTAGACCAATTGCACACGAGCGAAAATATCTGATGGATTATAAATAAAAATATATTGCTCACATGTACCCACATAAATGTGATTGCAAAGATCATCATGAAACTCACACAGCTTTCAAATTGAATAACAGTTTTCAAGGAAAATTAGTTGAACCGATTTCAGGTTTTAAGAGTTAGGGCAAGTCTGGTTTCTGTCACAGGAAACAACACAAAGAGTTGCTACTGCTCCCCTGAATGGATGGTTGTCCTTATGGCATGCGCGGTACCTATTTATACCCATGGGAGAAGAGACGCAAAGCTAGAGTAAACTGTCTTTCCCAAAAACACAACTCAATCATCAAGCTGGGGCTTGAACTTGGACAGCTGCACCAAGAGTCAGTGTACTAACTATCACACCACCCCATCTGCCAGATATGGTCTGTACACTGCCACCTCAAAGGGTTAACAGATGTCAAGCACAATACTGGTGATGTTGTATCTCACCTGAGGACCTGCATAGTTTGTGCTATTGTTCACAACTATCTTGTGTATTTTGCCAAACTTGCTAAAGTACTCTGGTCTCTTTAGAAGCTGTGAGAGAACAGTAATTTATGTAAGTTTGGTCATTGATTCGAAGTGGTTATAAATTTGAACAAAGAAGATGAAACTTCACATGTGACCATTCATATGACAGCTATCGAGTATTATCTTCATGTGGTACTGTTTCCGCTTTACAAGATGTCCTAAAAATTAAGTCTTTAGAAGAAATGCTAGTTTGACCATACTAATACAAGGTGCTATAGTCCATGTACACATAACTCTCACCTCAGGGTCTGCTAATCTTTGAGTTAATCCCACTACAAATACCAAGTTTTTCTGTACAACTCTAAAAACAGGAGAAAATGTATACATGTGAATAATGATACACTCAGTAAAACATTTTTAAGTCCACTGATTAGCCAAAAAGCTCATCAGTTCTAGTAAATACTGGTAACTTTGTTAGAGTCCAAGAGTACTTTAAACTCATCAACAATAGATGAGGTTGGGGGTTGGTGCCTGGAAGGATGGTGGGACTGAGAGCATAGAAGCCGAGCACCAGGGTATCCCAGGCAACCCTGTGAGCGGCAACCACCATCTGGCACCGTCACACTGANGGGGGGGGGGGGGGGGGGGGGGGAGGCAGAACAGCAAGAAAGCTAGCAAATGCGAGAACATGAGTGATTGCTCAATGTATCAAAGAAACCAGAACTGTACAAAGGTCAAGCCCTGTCACTTACCAGGCGCCCCCGCGGCAGATGTGAACTGCCATGATGAAGATCGCTGCCTGCATTGTCTTGATTTTAACTACACCTAAATTACATTTAGCCACGTCTTACTCCCTTGGATGCGATGCTAGTCCACCACAGGGTTCTCCCTCCCGGCATAAAATTTATTAGTACCCATTTATATACCAGGTGGAAAGGTACCATGAGAGCAAATCATTTGCACAACAACAAAACACAATGACCAAGACAAGATCTTAAACTTGGACCGCTTTATTTGCAGTCCTCTGCACTAAGCACTGATCATTAGACCACTGCATGTCTCTAATTATTTTCTTGTTACCATGGAACCTCCATTTAACAAACCTCTATTTAAAGAAGACCTTGGTATGACGCTCGATATTCTTCGCCCCAGTAATAGTAAAATATATGGAAAAGAACCTCAACATAACAAAACCTTGTTATAGCGAACATATTTTTCTGGTCCCTTGGCCCTTTGTTAAATCGAGGTTCCACTGTACATGTATAAAGATGCATGTGACGGCATGAACCATCAAGTGACACAACTAAAGCATTTACAAGTATATAGCCCAAATACTTTTCTTGAAAGTGTCCTACCTCACATTTGCTAAGTGTTTTCTGTTTTCAGTTACTTTCTGTTTTCTTTGGACATCTTTCTGTTTCCTTTCTTTTAGAATTCTCTGTATTCTGGCAAAAAGGGAGTTTGACATTGATCACAACAAAAGCACAAACATGTAATGTATGATCTTCATTTCCTTAGCTACAAATCTGTTTTAGAAATACTATGATATCAATGTGTTTTGCTATTGAAATTTACCAGTCTTCAAGCAAAACAATTCTTGCTTCAAGCAGTCAGTTGAGATTTTGTAAGCAAAACAATACTGCTTAATAATGTGAGACAAAATATCACTTCAACTTGTTTAGCTAATTAACTAATTAATAAAATCAGTAAGTCAGTGAGTAAGCATGTCTGCCTCTAATAAGATTACAAATAAAATGCACTTACTCATCTTGTGAAAGGGGAGTGTAAACTGCAGGATCTTCACTGTACGGCTGTAGAATTTAGGAGAAATAACTTAAACATAACTCAGGAAAACATTATACTGTCCATGTAATGTACTTCTACTTGAGAGAAATGTTCATCTACAAGTGTTGTCCCATTCTGAACGTGAAAGCTCTGCTACTTTGGGTGATACACACATGTTTAAAACTGATACATTTCTTAGTTATATAACCAACGCTTGTTTTCTACCCTTCTGTATTTTATCTTTCTTTGTGATCAATACAGTGTGAATAAAGAGTCGACTTGATTTGCAGGAATTTTGGATTTGTGTTTGCAGGCGGCATCCATAACTGCTGTCAGGCTGAGTAGAACCTCAAAGTGGTGATATGCATCATCCCGAGGGCTTGAGGAGCAAGATGGGGGTGAGGAGGGAGAAGAAGGGGGGGGGGGGGTAACATTTTTAGCTGCTCAAATCCTGTTTTATTTATTAGCATGAAACCAATCAGAGCATTAATACCTTTCTACATGCAGGACACAATCCATTTTCATCTGTTCTGATCCGATGCCAGCAAAATCTACAAATCTAAGAAAAAGATAGCAAAAATCTTTTTACTCAACACTGGAAAATTATTAAAACTACCTTATTTAGCTAAAGTAGCTCACCCAGAATAGCTTTGCTAGCTGCGAGCTACTATGGCTTGTAAACCTATTATATATTAGTAAAAGTTACTGCTACTGTTACTATAATTCATGGTTAAAATACATTGATATTTTTTCATAACCCAGCACATTTTCTATGATTTACATGTACATGTACTCAAACATTTGTGAAAAGTAAATTTTCAATCAAAGCACTTTACTAATAGTAAACTTACAGCATGCTGAAACTGCAGCAATTTAGTTCCTGCAGAGTTGCTGGTGTCCACAGAGTATTGAAACTTGATCCGGGTAACAAAGTAAAGTACACTGGCTTTTGGAAGAATATTTAACTGTTTCCCCAATGTTGCCTGATTTTTCAATGCAAGCCCATTCGGGTGTAACAGCTTGATCAGTGGGGCATTGAAAGAAAGAATCTCCCACCCTTAACGGACAGAAAGCCCCTCTAAATCAAGCCACTTTTTAGGTCAGGCTGCTATTTAGGTCAGGACACACTAGATCACAAGTTGCTTCTAGATGTCTCTGCGACAAACAGCATTGTCTGTAATTGCTTCCAAAACAAGTTGCTGCATATTCAAAACTGGTCCTTGTGTTGTGTCACAATGACTTGTCGCCTGGAGTGTCCTGACCTTTAAGGCTGGGAGTTGTTCACACAGAAGTTCACCACCTAATAGGGGAAGGACATTGACTGGCACAATAGTCGAGTGAACTCTACTCATGCTGCCTGCATTCTTCTCACACTAAAGTGCAGTTCATCATACAACAGGTGGCAGAATGATATAAACAACAGCAAAAAACTTTGCAGTACTTATTCTTGTCTCAATTAATTATTTTCTTTGCTTTCAGTTGGCAGTTTAATTACTTGCAAGTTCAGTGAAATAAACGAAATAACATTATCAACAAATAACAAAAAAAAAAGCGTATTTGAATATCTTAGACAATGAAGTGGGCGTTTTTGAAATTAAGTCTTACATGTACGCAACCCCGCTAAATAGAAACTGTTCTAGAGAAGAATAGGTAGAGCGATAGACATAGACATTACTGTATAACTAGTCTATCATAAAAATTCGATTTCATATTAACAAATCAATGAACAATTTAAATTGTGCAGTCATAAAATAGTTGTACAATACGCATCAAGTCATTGTGTACTGAAGCAATTAGCCGTCACAAGAAGTTTTTCCACGAAAACAGTTTCGACACGTATTTACCTGGTATCCACAAGTACAAGGGAAGAAATTGACGTCGTCGATTTCCAACTGCTCCATGCATAACGGGCACTACGTAATGTAATTCAATCAAACAGGGGAGAGAGCATACATAAATTGTTTAGAACTCCCGCCAACAAACGCAAGATCAACACAAAAAAAAATAACCAGTGAATCTTCAAGCATCACTACCTCTGCATCTGAAGCTTGCATAGTGATTATCAAACGCCGTGAAGCAAAACAGGTGAAGAATAAACAGGTTTTGGGAGACAGACGACGAGTTGACTTGGCGGACACAAAATTATAGACCGGGCACGAAACTTTTTAACGTAGCACCGGAAACAGTGAATGTTGGCGGAAATTACCAGCAGGTTTGATGAACAGGTCGGCCTGCGTCTTCTTGGAATTCCTAAAAGCCGGTAAATGCCCAAAGGTAAGGAAAAATGAAGCAAGCAACTCGTATTTCGCGTCTAAAATTCTCGCTCTCTTGCCCAACTTTCCTTCTAGATGTAGCTTGTCATATCGGTGTCATTTCGTACCGAGTGCGCATGAGTCACGCGCATGTGGCCAACTTGCAACCTGTCAAGATTGCAGGCTCACTTTACGAACGTCGTTAGTTTCCCGCGAAACATTTTGCGCAAGGAAATCTTTTTAGACTCGCCTTCGGCTGGGTTCATAAACTTGCAAACGGAAGAAAACAGAAGCAAAATCAAACAAACAAACAAACAAACAAAAACCAAACGCGCACAAATAATTAACCTAACAAACGGACTCATTGGCTTAAGTGTCGTAATTACCCGGCTTCTCCCCTCTTTTATTTATTTATTTATTTATTTATTTATTCATTCATTCGTTTAATGTTTTACATTTCAAGTGAGTCCTAGAGAGAGAACATCTCTTCTCCCGCCCGGGTTCATCCCGAAAAAGAACGGGTCCGGTAAAGAAGGATGAGGAACTAGAAAGCTTAAGACAATCTGAAAAAATACTGGGGAATACAAGGGGTAGAAACTCTTATTCTTCGGCCATTTCAGCTGTGGTAAAAATAAAAAAAAAACAAACTGTGGTCACAAACATAACAAAACAACGCATGTTGTAGAAACCTTGATTTGAGAACTTAACGTTTCGTATGCTTCTACATACATCCTATGCAAGGACCTCATCAAGCGGGGACAGGAACCCATCACTACCCCATACCCCATATTCATGTAGTTATGCTTAAAGTCATTTTATGCTACAGAAACTGGAATAAGGTCCGTCACTGGCAACTGCTTTGGTCCGTGTACAACAGTCTAGTTTCCAGGACTCGCGGGTTCTTGGATGTTAACCTAACGGATCAACGTGTCTGTTGTTTGCACTCGATCTAACGGCGCTGAGCCGAGTAAAGCAGACTACGCTTTCGTCTTCACGCGAGAAGAAAATATGTTGAGCAATGCAAGGCGACGAGAAATTTACAAGGTAGAGTGGCTCAATCGAGAATGAGTAAATCCATCGGAGCAATGCAGCTCATGGTGGCGGAAGGTTTGCCAGTTCTTGTAAGTCATGTAGTATGCACGAAAAGTCATTCTTAAAAAAAAACAAAAAAACAAAGACTGCTGTTGTAACAAGTATTGCCAGAAGTCAATATGGTAATTCGTATAACTAGAATAACCCGTAAGCCACACATATCAATCATCATCCACTGGGAAATCGACGGGTTTTCTCATAGAGCACTTTGATTACTTCTTGTACATTAGTTGTTTTTCCTTTGTGTGTGGGAAGCAAATACTTACTCCTTCCAGAATGGATCATGTTGCAAAGAGTCCCTTCCAAGTGCACAGGAATGAGGATTTGGAGACGAGCTCTGCGTTTGTACATATAAATGCGAGGCTAGTGACTAAACATTTAGCTATCAAGTACTCAGAGATGTACTTGGTGTGGTGGAAACCTAAAAACCGGAAAGCAGGAAATTAAAGTCGTTGTGTACTAGACGGTATTACGTCCAACCTTACCATCGTACACTGCATTGTGTTGGCCACTGTATTTTCTATGGCATGGTATAAAATATTTAATACGCAACACTTTTTCGACTTGTGTCTTCTTGGTGTAAAAACACTCGCCTAAATGACTCGTGGTATATAGACTACGAGTAATCCCTCTTTCGCTTAGTCCGTCGTGTGTGACGCGAAAGAAAACCGCTAGAAAAAAA